CCAAGTCCAGTTATTTTCAGATTATACCAATTTTCTTTTGAACTGTGTAAATTTTATCACTACAACTACTGTACTTTTGGGTCAATTTCTCTTGTATTTCTAATAGCTTGAACTGAATATACTTTTCAAAATTGTTATTTGGCCATCAAAGCTCATGCCAATGATAGCTTTATTGGTGATTTCAATTTTTGTAAAAGAAAAGTAATCCAATCTGTTGCTGGCTGGTTATGTGGTGCATGCTGACCCAGCCTTCGCTGCAAAGTCGGCTTTTTTTTTTTTTGTCCAGTAGTAGCAGGCAGCAAGTCTTCCTGGTCTGAGAATATTTTAATGTCTTTCCTTTATCTATCCATCCTGTATTATGATGCACTATACCATGGTTTTAACATACGTTCAGTTGGCTGTGGCTAAATCTTTGTAGACAGCTACGAAAGCAAGTTGGCGTACATAAAGATTCAAAATGGACATCAATTCATATTATCATTGCTATGCCAATTACATTTTGTTTGCATCTACCTGACAAGCTACTAGACCCTGCATTTTGTTTCAGATTTTTTTTATTATCTACTGCCAAATATTAAAACAACTCAAAACATCATGGTTTAAACAGTAAGCATTTATTATTTTGCAAAAATCACTGAGTCAGAAATGCAGAAGTAGATCAGTTGCTGGGCCACAGCTCAATTCTCTCATTCAGGGTTACAGGTAAAATGTTACCTGGAGCTGCAATCATTTGAAGATTGGACTGGGGCTAGCAGACACAGGCAACCCTCAGTTCCCTGCCACGTGAACCACTTTATATGGATGCATCACTGTGTCCTTAAGACATGGCAGCCGGCCTCCATGGGAGTGACTGATGAGAGAGAGAGAGCTCAATGAGAAAGAAGTGGTACTTTTTATGATCTTCCTTTAAAAGGCAAGTATCTTCACTTCTCCATATTCTACACAGCAAATCTCCTGGAATCCATCTAAAGGGAGAGGAATATTGTCCACCACTTGGAGAAGAATATTCAATAATGTGTGACAACTTTGAAATCATGAAAAACTCCTACAGACAGCACCAGTGTTTGGAGCTTTCACGTGGCCTGTTGGATTCCCATTCAGTTTCTCCTGATGCCTCGTAGCTGTTTCTTTTTCTTGTAATATAGTCTGCGGTGATAAATTTTTCCAGATTGTGTATTATTACCAAGTATTTCACCTCTAGTTTTGAGAGTTTTCCTTTCTTTCTTTCTTTCTTTCTTTCTTTCTTTCTTTCTTTCTTTCTTTCTTTCTTTCTTTCTTTCTTTTCTTTCTCTCTTCTCTTTTCTTTTTTCTCTTTTCCTTTCTTTTCTTTTTCCCTCTAGTTGTAAAATTCTAAGTCAGCAGGTTCCTTGTTTCTGTCAATACTTTAAAACCTTTTATTTCTTACTCTCCAGCTTAGGACTTGTACGATTTCCAGGAAAAAAAAAGTTCATGGAATTTTGTTTCTCTGAAAATACTGTGTCTTCCCTCCTTCGTCCGCTGCCTTTGCAGTTTCCTCACTGGTTTTGAATAACTGCATTGTTAACTGTTAAAGTTTTCTTCGTGATTTTTTGTGGTAGAGTCATTGGACTTTTGGATCAGTGGATTCATAGCTGCACCCACTTTGCTCACATTTAAGCTACTGTTTCTTCAAACATAGATTGCCATTCTTTTGTCAGACATTAGTTACTTATAAATTAGGCAATGTAAAGTCGTGTATAGGTTACTGGCATTGCATTTGTCTAAAACCATTTTCGTTTTGAAATAGTTTGGAAGGTACGCTGTAAGTGATCTTTTTTTCTCTTATCTCATTTGCTGATAATTCTGCAATATGTGTTTTTCAACCTAGACCTCAATTTTTCATCTAATTTAGACCTTTTAAATAAGCTTGACGTCTCTCCTTAGCGTGCCCCTTTTCCCTGTCTGCATGGAAAGATTAAAAGCAATTGTTTAATTTGGATGGGAGAGATTCCAAGCCTTCTTATTCCTGTGTGAATTCCCGTAATTGCCCCCTCTAATCCTCCAGGGCACCAGGCAGTTCTTTCCTTAGTCAGCCTTCGGGCAGTTTCCTTACACACATGCACACTTCAGCACTCAGTCAAGACTTGAGGGGAAGGCACTGCAGGTCCACTGTGTAGTTCCCTCCTCTCTGGAGCTTTGTGCTGTGAATCCTAGCCTCTGTGTATTAGCTCATTTTTTTCTTTTTTAAAAAAAGATGGAATTTTTTTTTTTTTGCAACATCAGATTTACAGAGAAAAGGAGGGAACAGAGGAAAAGATCTTCTGTCCACTACTTCACTCCCCAAGTGGCCGCAATGGCCAGGGCTGAGCTGATCCTAAGCCAGAAGCCAGGAACTTCCTTTTGGTCTCCCCTGTGGATACAGGATCCCAAGGCTCTGGGCCATCCTTGATTGCTTTAGCAGGCTACAAGCAGAGAGCTGGATGGGTAATGGAACAGTCCATATGGGATCCTGGCACATGCAAGGTGAGGATTTAGCCTCGGAGCCATCGCAATGAGCTCACATTAGCTCATTTTCAACCCATCTCCTCATCCCAGGGAGACTGCCAGGCTATTTGAGTTCCCCTCCCCTGCTCTGCAGCCTGGAAACTCTCTGTAGGCAATAAACTGAGCGAATCAATGGGCTTATCTCATTTGTTTCTCTTCTCTCAGGGAATGCTGTCCTGAGCCGCCTGTTGTCTGATGTCTGAGAATGTTTGCTTCTCAATTTTTGTTCAGCTTTAAATGTGATCCCTGTTACTCCAGCATGATTGATCAAAGAAAACTCCCCAGAAACTAGCCTTTAAATCAATGCTTGGTGTAACTAATTGAACCAGTTGTGTATTGCAGTGTAATAAACCTCCTTAAAACTAGTGGTTTAATATGACAACCATTCATTTGTTCAGAATTCTATCGGCTCAACTGAATGAATATGCTCTTGGTATCGGCTGTGCTAACTCGTGCATTTAAAATCAATTGGCAAATTGGCTGCTTGTTGGCCCAAGAAGGCCTGTCTCACCTGTCTGGCTGCTGGTTCTTTTTCTCTGTGACATCCCACCCTCCAGTAGACAGGATACACCTTTCTCTCTCTGTTTCCTATCTTCAGCTATCTACGCACACTTAATCTTTAACCTCTGCAGTACTCAGGCAGGTAAATGTGCATCTACTAATTATTGTGACAATTACAATGACTACTCACTATTTTAAAGCACCTGTCCCTTCCACATGTTGCGTGCAACTGTGAGCCACCCAGCACCACGTCAGCTCTGGTGCGGAAGTAGCCTGCCGGTCCTCTTCACTCTCCCTTCCTCCCTGTGCCTGGAGATGAAGTTCTCCAGATGTCGGAAGAAGCCTGACTTACCAAGGGGAGACATCTAATCGGGAAATAAGCAACTGAGCTACTCCTCTGCCCTGATTCTGCTGCTGCAACCAGTGGCTTGCTCAGACCGATACAGCGACCTTAAAATTTCTAACGTGTTCTCCGTGATCAAAGCTTCTGTCATGTCAGAATGAGGACTGAAATGGTACTGCTTTTCACTCATCTGTCGTAAAATATCTATAAGCTTTCAAATTTTCTTCCTTCTCTTCTCATATAGATATTATTTTACTTAGCATAATAAATGTAATTTTCATAGATTATAATTTATTTACCATATTCATGTAGTTTTAGATGAAAATCTAGTTTATTCTTAAGATATGAACATTTTTACACTGTGTGTACACTCCTACAGTGTGTGCCATGGCCTCGTAGGCTCAGTGTGCACCTGCAGCCCTGGCATCCCAGTGCGTGCTTGTTTGTGTTCCAACTGCTCCACTTTTGATCCAGCTCCCTGCTTGTGGCCTAGGAAAGCAGCAGAGGATGCTCAAGTCCTTGGGAGCCCACACCTGTGAGAGACCCAGAGATGGGTTCAGTTCTGGTTATTATGAGCATTTGGGGAGTGAACTAGCAGATGGAGGATCTCTCTCTCTCTTTTTCCTTCTCTCTGTAAAATCTTTAAAAAGATTTATAAAAAGAAATTTTAAGAGCCCAGAGCAATAGCATAGCAGTAAAGGTACTCACCTTGAACGCGCTGGGATCCCATATGGACACTGGTTCTAGTCCCAGCAGCTCCACTTCCCATTCAGCTCCCTGCCTGTGGTCTGGGAAAGCAGTCGATGATGGCCCAGAGCACTGGGTCCCTGCACCCGCGTGGGAGACCTGGAGAGATGTTCCTGGCTCCTGGCTTTGGATCAGCACAGCAATGGCTGTTGCGGCCAAATGGGGAGTGAATCATCAGACAGAAGATCTTCTTCTCTGTGTCTCCTCCTCTCTGTAAATCTGCCTTTCCAATAAAAATAAATAAATCATATAAAAATTTTTTCCAAAAAAATCCCAAAAATCCCAGGTAGCACAGGAAATTCTTCCATAGGAATAGAATCCATTCTGACTACTCCCTATAGCTGTACTCACCCTGCACACTGACTGAGTGAATAATGAGACAGCTTTCTTAGAGGAAATATGAGTTAGCTTCCTGAAAGCCTCTGGCCACAACTATTTTGTCAGCTGATTAATATATAACCTTGTTTTCTGCATGTTTTCATTTAAATAACTTACTCAGATATGAAATATTGAAAAAAAACTATGCATAGATTTCAGATTTTTTGCATCAAAATTAACTTATATTTTAATTTTTTCACAATCTCCTTGATGTAGTCTTGTGCATCACTCATTCGTCAGCATTGGACTCACAACTGACAACACTACAATGCCTAAGTGAAACTTATATTCACAAGTATTTTCTTCATGAGGCACATCAGTGTTCCTGACCTTGGGCATACTAGCAAATACTTCAGGACTACTCTTGGGATCTACTTTCCACATAGAAATCATTACTAATACACGAAGCATGAAAAATGTGCCACCAAATAGACTATGCTAAAAACTTGTTTGCCACATGAGAACTGAAGCAAGAAGGAAGAGAGTGGCTTTGTTTGATTTTTTTTTCCCCTAGAAAAAATAGGTTTTCAATGCTGGCCAAATGCCAAACACGGTATCACACAATTCCAACTCACTGAAACCATGTGTTTTGATTGACTGACTGACGGACACCGATGTATGTTGACGCTCCCTCAACCTCCATCTGCATGCCGACCAGAGGCAGAGTCACAGCACCTGTAAGGGGCGAGGCATGGCTCAGTTTTCTCCAACTTCCCATGTTCTTAACTTTGGGGGCTTTGGTAGAATGATTTCTTACATGAAGCTGTGAATTATCCTGTGTGCAGTGCTACCAAAATAGGACTATATCTACTTGCATGCAACTTGCCATTATTGGCATGATACTCTGTTTTGTGATTGTTGGTTCTTTGGGTGCTTGTGAGCTCTGGATGCAGGTCGAATTTTGGGAACAGGACTTGGATAGGAAGGTGGGGAGGGGATGGGAACAAGATGCCTCTCTGACAATGCTTGAGAATTGGGGAGGTCTCAGGAGGGACTGGCATGTGGGGTCTGAAGGAGAATAATGGATTCCATTCCAAGGAGCCCAAGCCGGGCAAAGACGTCAGTGCTGCAACAAGATCTGAAACAGGAAAGGGCTTCAAAAAACTCACAGAAACTCAAATTTAAAAGATAGGCTACAGTGATGCAAAAGCATTTTGAAATTCCTGCATTGTATTGTCACATTTTCTAAGAACGTTTTTGAAAATCTCTATAGTTTAGGACTGGTTAACTGAATAATTCTGGAGGGCTTTAAGCCACAGGAATGGTCCCTGATTGCCGGGTATCTGGCCCTGGAAGGAATAACATACTTATCAGTTCCTTCTATGGTGTTCTGGCATGATGAGCAGGTACAGTTCTTTGCTCATCCAAAGTGTAGCGAGGGGAAATCTTTCTATCTACTCTCAAGTCTGACCATTGAATCCACGAGATGAACTGATGGTAGATAAAGTCATGGGAGAAAAACCAGCTCCGTTACGTGCACATACACTGGAGCTTCACAAAACAGAAACATGAAGAAGGGTTACATTTTAAGTTTTGATAACAAAATGAAGATGCAAGAAGATGTAGTCGCTTGAGATGGGGGTGATGAAGGGAAGTGTTGACAAATGGTGGGTGCTGAGGGAGGAAAAGGCACTGAACAAGGCCTGTCTCCTTAGATAAATAAAATATACCCCGAAGTCATTTCTCTTGAGAGTTAATCTCCCCTGGCTGATGAGATTCCTGGGGAGAAGACTACCATAATTGAGTTTCCTTTTGGGTGAGCTATGGTTAATCATTTAGGAAACTACAGACAAAGCCTCTTCTGTGAGTGGTCAGGGAACTGGAGGGCAGGAAGAAGCGAGGCTGTAGCTCTCCTTAGTTCAGACCCCTGAGCATGCCAGTGTGCCATCGCTGGGTACTGTTTTCTAAACATCAACAGAAGAATTCATCCAGCCGAATTCTCTAGGACCCAAGGACCTGGCTACCCTAGAAAGAGTATCCTCCCAGTCCGAATGATTTAAGATGCCAAAACATAATATTGACATCAAAAATGTCTACAATACACGTTTAAAGTTTCCAACATTAATTTTTTTATAGCAGTTTGCAACTATCTTATTTTTGAAAGGCAAAAACTTGGAGACAGGCACAATGAGAAAGATGCCCCATTAGCTGGATTAACTCCCCAAATGCCAGCAACAGCTGGGGTTGGGCCAGGCCAACCCTGGGAGCCACAAGCCAACAACTCAGGGCACAGCAGGGATCCAGCTATGTGAGGCATCCCTTGCTGCCTCCCCAGGTGCACATTAGCAGGAAACTGGAATCAAAGGCAAGGCAAAGCCTGAAACCTACATGCTCAGATGCGGGGTGCAGGTACCCCAAGCAGCATCATACGCATTGTGTTCAAGCCTGCACCTGTTCAATCATCTAAGCACCTATGGTGCACCTGTTTAATCATCAGTCTTGGCTGTTATTGGGTGGCTGATTTGCCATTCTTTCCTCAACCTATCTTGAATTCCCTCCCAGTTTTCCCAGAAGGATCAGAGGTCCCCATTACTCAGATCAAATGACTTTGCTAAATTTGATTATTTCAAATTTTTGATTTTAAAATATGTATAGATTTAGGGATATTCATAGAATGTTTATATGTATCTGAATTATCCAAACAGCATATATACATAAATATATATATATATATTATATGAGTGTATATATATGTACAAATATATATAAACAAATATCAATAAATACACTCAGAATAATCTGGTAAGGAAATATGGGCAAAAGAAAAAGAAAGAAAGCCAGTGTTGTAGCACAGCACATGTAGCCTCTAACTGCAATGCTAGTATCCCATGTAGGTGCCAGTTCAAGTCCCGACTGCTCCACATCCAAATTAGCTCCTTGCAAATCTCTTGAAAAGTAGTGGAATGTGGCCCAAGTTCTTGGATGCCTTCATCCACACAGGAGGCTTGGAAGAAGCTCCTGGCTTCTAATTTCAGCCTGGCCTAGCAGATGAAAGATTCCCTCTCTTAAAAAAAGAAAATAAAGAGAAGGCAGAGCTTTGGGATACCAGATGGCTTAACAGAAACCCCGAATGTAATGGGGGGAAGTGTCAAACACACATAGAAAAGTGCATTAATAATCATTGAATTACATTCTATATTATGCTTCATGTCATTTCATGGAGCAGTTTCTTTTTCTTTCACTGCCCAACAAATAGAAACATGTTTTAAAAAGTTAAAAAAAAAAAACACCCTCCATGATAATGTGGTTAGTAATAACTTCATACTTAATCTATTATCCTCACCAATCTATCAAATAATTGTAACATTTAAATGAATTTGCATGCTAGTATTTATCACAGAAACATAAAATAATCTTACATTAGGTTTTTGACAGATTTGGGAAGCACAAGGGAAAACAGGAATTACGTCCCCAAAGCATCAATACTTTAACACAGAGACTTTGGAGGAGGGTTTTCCATGATTCCCTCACAGAAAATGTAATGTTCTCCCAAAAAGAAGGTGTCTTCTTACTGTAACTCTCAGAAGGCCTCAGAGCACAGTCATACAGTCTTAAAGGGAAACAGCTATAATAAATGTTTTTTATCATACACATCTTCCATGAAGGTTTTTTAGCATGATTCAGCTACATGTATTTCACATAGTTCTGCACAAAAACTTCCTAACTCCATTTTCTCTGAACGTTTTCACGTTCCCTTGTATGGGCTATTTTCCTTGACTACGGAGATGTTTAAACCCCTTTAGATGTGTGTATGCAAGAGCTTGCTTCCTTTTACAAAGCTTCACACTAAATACAAATGTAGCTTGTAGGAATATACATTTTGCTACAAATTATTGTTTTTATTCTAACACAATAGAGTTCCTTTTAAAAGAATCTTACCTTTTCATTTTCCTGCTGTCTTTTTTCATTTTTTTCAAGCCCAGCACTTCCATGGTGTTCTCACATTTGTTGGAAGTTTTAACCCTTATGGACCATCTCTGGGTCCCTGTGCTAGCAGAAGTGGAGAGAGATTAGCCCATTGAGTGATGTAACTCCCTAGTGACCATGGGAGTCCTCTGTCTCACGCTCACCTGCTACTTCAAGTGTGGAAACACCTTCAGGACTCAAGCTGGGCTGCAGCTTTCAGCAGCCAAGGAGAGTGGGCCTTGCCTTTTCACAAACCTTGACCTCGTCTCTGTTTCCTTAGCACTGTTCTCAGGCATTCTCTAGAGGCTTCACTTGAAGACAATGTCTGGGGGTGCTCTCTTTTATCTTCTTAGCCTCGTGAAGGGTGCAGGGGAGACACTGAAGGTGTTGCTTCTGACCCAATCTGCATAACATCTCCAATCTATTTCACCCTGCCAAAGAGGAAATAGAAAAATTAAAAAGTAAGTAAGTTAAAAAGAATAATAAGGCAATAAGAAGGAGGGGAAAAGAAACATCACTGTTAGCAAATCAATCAGTTCCTGGATTGTTATCTTGAATCTGTCCTCGAATGTGGGGCTAGCTCTCCTATCAGCACTTCAGTGCAGTCTCTACTGACTAGCAACTCTCTCAGATGACACGCCACGGTGAGGCCCATTTAGCCAGACCTCAGAACCATCCTTCGGAAATGATGCACTAGCACCATTATAGGAGTACTTAGTAATTTTATCCCCTTACTCATTAATATTAATTAGTGCTTGGAGGGGAAGGAGTACAGGGAACAGCTTCTCATATCTAAGCTAATTAACTTTGTCGAGATGGTACGAAATTGAGAAAGCACTTTATTAAAAACCATAAGGTACGTGCTCAAGGGACTTTTATTTTCTGCTTATGCTTAACTTTGATAACATTTGGCTCCTTGTAAGCAACCTAGAATTGCCAGAAAGGATAAAAAAAAAATGTTACCAGGAGAGTGAAAAATTTAGCACGGTTTCTAAGACACTCACTTGCTGTTATGGAAAATGAAGGCTTGGTTTCAATCCCCACATTTAGAGCATGATAACACTACAAATTGTAGTAAAAATAAGTTATAAGAAAGACTTCTATCTCTTTTTAGCAACATATGTTAATTTGTCATATATCTACTCTGAAGTATAAGTTGAGTCACTTTCATTTTTTTTTAAGATTTCTTCTTTTTTATTATTTGAAAGGCTGATATACAGACTGAAGACTGAGAGAGAAAGAGGGAGATCTTCCATCCACTGATTCACTCCCCAAGCAGCCCCAATGGCCACAGCTTTGCTGATCCAAAGCCAGGAGCCTAGAGCCTCTACAGGTTTCCCACATGGGTGCAGGCTCCCAAGGCTTAGGGGCTGTCCTCCACTGCCTTCCCAGGCCACAGGCAGGGAGCTGGATGGGGAACAGCTGCTAGGATTAAAATGCATGCCCATATACTATCTTGGCACGTGCAAGACAAGGACTTTACCTGCTAGGCTACCACGTCAGGCCCATAACTTACTAAGATGTCTAAAATGTATTTGGTTTATGATTAGTATCAGCAACAACTTTCAAGCCAAAGATTCCACCAGATATATTTCTTGTGAATAAAACACCATAAGAAACTCCTAGATGTCTGAAATTAGAAGCTAACAATCTATACCTTGTTACCATAATATTCATCTGTTCTTTCAACAAATTTGAGCACATAGTGTGTAAAAGAAACTTTTGAGTTCCAAAACTTCAGAGGTAGATTTAATAATTCTTAAAAGATTGTTTTTATTGAAAACTCAGATTTACCGAGTGAAGGATAGACAGAGAAAAAAATCTTCCATTTGCTGCCCCGCTTCCCATCCAGCTCCCTCCCTTTTCCCGGTAGCCCGGGAAAGCAGTCGAGGACGGCCCAAAGCTTTGGGACCCTGCACATGCATGGGAGACCCGGAAGAGCTTTGGGACCCTGCACCCACGTGGGAGACCCGGAAGAGGCTTCTGACTTCGGATCGGCATAACATCGGCCATTGCAGTCACTTGGGGAATGAATCATCCGACGGAAGATCTTCCTCTCTGTCTCTCCTCCTCTCTGTATATCCGCCTTTCCAATAAAAATAAAAAATAAATCTTCAAAATCTGAACATTTTTTGTGGTTTGTGTATTTGGTTATTGATTTTAATGAAGGCAATGATACGTGTTCATAAAACAAGAGTAAAGCTTTAAAATCTTTTAACAGCAAAGTAGCATGCAAGATATGAACCACAGAGGAGCGCTTCACCGTATCTTAACACTGTCCTTGTATTTCCTTAGCATCTCACATTGCCGTCTTTTAACTGCACTATAGTTGCTGTGTTTCCATTGCTGAAAGCAGGTGCATTGTGAATTTACAGCATCTTCAAGCCTCATTGGTATCTTTTACTTCATCTCCTTCTAATTTTGAGGCCCCTGACTTTTATTGAGCTTTGCCAACTTGATGCTATATTGCTCCTTTTTTCTTTGAAGAATTTATCCTCGTGGACCTTACTGGTTTAAGCATTAGTATATCGTTTAAGTCCTTTTGAAATGAATGTTTTGAAGCGACATTATATGGTTAGGTAAACTACAATCTTTGAGGTAAAACAGACTGCATTTGGGTCTCACCTCTGCCACCCATTTGTTGGTTAGCTTTAGACAAGCTGGCAAACATGTCAGAACTAGCTTCCTCCTGTGTAACTTAGGGCTAAGTTTCTGCCTTGCAGGTGTCCTGGGAAGGAGCAGAGGCAGCGCACCTGCTGACCTGAGGCTCTCCACAGCCCACTGTTACCCAGCATCTCTGCCTTCCTCTCCCCCGGAGTCACGGAGGTGTGACCCCTCAGCAGTGACTTACAGTGCCTGAGCTGACCGGACCATGACGCCTTGGCCACACAGGATCCTGAGTTTAATGCTACCCTCTCCACTCATTCCTAATAATAGGGTACTTAGTGCAGCAGGGGGGAGGTGCTGTCCTAAAAGGCCCATTGGAGGCAAGGTCGGGCTGGGGGTGGGGGTTGGCATTCACCCCGTCCTTCACTAGTCGGGGCTCTACAGCTTCTGGGTTCCAATGGTGCAAAGGGAGATTACTCAGTTGCTGTTTCTCAGGAAAGGGGAATTCTCATGTGGACTGTGCAGTGAGCCACTCGGGACTTAATCAAGTTACAGATTTTCTGCCATGGCAGTCAAAAGGGGGGCTCCAGGAGAGTAAGACATGCCCCCCACCAAATAAAGCGACCAGAAGGGTGGGATCCCCGACTTCTCTGTATTCTCCTGACAAACTGAAAACTCTGAAGAGCGAGATCCTACTTCCTTGCTATTCTCATGATAACTCTGGAAAGCCAGAGGCCGGGGACTGGCAGCTTCAGGCGGATAAACCAGAATTTTTCACTCTCGGAAAGATATCTCACTGCCTCTTTGCTATTCTGATAACACTGGAAATCTTATGGACAGAAGCAAGCAGCATGTACACTTTTGACAGGACTCCCCATTTTCTTATTTCAGCAAGGGTCTAACTCCTTACACAATCACCAGTGTCTGGCAGGAGCCCACTTCTACTCTCTGCTGACTCATCTTCTCCCATAAGCACGTCCTCAGCTGTGGCTCACCTGTTTATCATCTCCTGCTTTAAGACCTTGCTCACACCACTCCATCAGTTACAGTTAATTTGAAAATTTTCACTTCCAATAATGCCCTGAATTACATGCCCCCAAAGGCAGAGGTTTGCGACTAGGCAGAGCCCTGGCTCCAGTAAATGGCTGCTCTCCTGTCTCCATGAGCTGAATGTCAATCCTATAGTGTTTACTGCACTTGTCTAAGCAAAATCTGTAAGTAATATTTAATGCAACATTTTTCGAAATTCAAAATGAATACAAGAAGGATTCATAATGAGCCCAAACCAATATTTTAAGATCTCAAATGAAGTCTGTGGCAAAAGAAAAAAAAATCAGCTCTGTCATCTTTTAAAATGATCGCATTCAATTCATCATATTTTATTTTCATGTGATTTTTCAAAAGATTGTGTTCAAATCTTTTTACTCTCTGCTAGGTCTTTTCACACTACCTTAGTTTCAGTCTTGCTCAGAGTCACTGAATTAAAAAAAAAAAAACACAAACCAATTTGTTTCCTTTGCTCTTTCATTTCTTTCTTTTCTTCTGACTACCAGGAGAAAGTAATTTGGGCCTGAGGCCACAACACTACCATGTCACAGAAGCTATACTGACAAAATTTAATGGTCATTTGTATATGATTCATTTTTTTGCCTCATAAATCAATTCTTTTCCCTACCATAAATCCTTCAACAAAATAGCACAAATTAATAATGAAAAAATGTGGGTTTTTTTTTTAAGACAGAATTTTAAGCACTCCCAATCTTCAGGACATGTTAACATAATGGGCCTGATTTTTCATCCCACATGTTTTCAGAGCAGGTTGGGTACTGCTCTCTTCCGTGAGATTGTCACATGGTAGAAAACCGGAAGCTTCAGTCAGACTGTTGCCTTACGATGCCACCAGCAGCCTAGCCTGGGCACGCAGGGCAGCTGCTGATGTGTGTTCCACCCTCTGCCTGCGGGCAACCACAAGCTGGATCACAAGGTAACGGGCAAGACTCAAAGTCAGAACACGTGGCCACCTCCCTCGTTCGGAACTCGGTTACCAAGGTACTTTTCAACTACTAAGTCTTGATTAATCACATTCCTTCAATAGAAATAGATTCTTTCTAGGGCTGTTAGAAGGACAAAAACAAATCACGGGATAATGTGCTTTGTAAACTGCCACAGGGCTCTACAAATTGAGTTCTTCCCTTGTTCAATGCCTTCCCGCAGGTCCGCTAGAAGCTAAGGCTGACTTCCCTGCTGGAAGCCAAGGAGAGAATCTGCCAGGTAGCTTGTCAGTTGTAGAATGTCATTCTAAAAGACACCAAACATACAAAAGGATGGTGACTGGCAATTGTTAGAGATCTTTATTATAAAGTGCAAAATAATCTTGAAGTGTGGTGTCAAACAAAACATCCTGAGAAAGATATATTTACTCCAAATGAACCTGAACACTTTGCGTATGAGTTTTCCTTGATGTGGTCATGACATGGTAGTGAAAAACAACAACAACAACAACAACAACAACAACAAAATAGAATAAACCCTAGGAAGGCAATTACTATTTCCTCAGGAAATAAAACAGTAGTAACAGTTCTTGGAGCCTGAAAACTAGTCTTTAACTAATTAGATTTACAATTGCTCACCACATCTTTAAAAGTGTCCTAGTTTTTAGATACTCAAATAGTTCCTTAATATGCATCACTAGGAAATTAGACAATCCATCAATATTAAAATAGATAAAATTATCTTTTAATATTTTCTCTTTTCAATTAGTTTGTTTTTAATTTGATTTGAAGGCATACGCTGATTCATCCCTAAGTTCCCGCAAGAGCCAAGC